CACCAACTCCGCATGTAAAAGAAATATATATAACCCAAAAGGAAAGTAAAAGTAAAGGTCATCTTTACATTTTCTTCAGTGTCACCGAGATATAAGTTTAACGTCCAGTAAGTGTTGGACTCCTACGCATCATATTTGATGTCCCTTGTCAACACATGCTTAAGACTCACACATGTTGCAAGTGAAGTATGTTAAGATTTTATAATTTGATGGCATAGATTACACTCTTTGTGCTTTCTGACCTCCCAAATGTAAAAAACGTGAAAAATGAAGTATTTTGGAGTCTGATAATTTGATGACGAAGATGGCAACATTTGGTGTTTCTGGAATGGGGTCTTTGTCAATGACCAATAATTATACATCAATATTTGGTGAAGAAAGTTTCCGTAATGCGCCAAAATGGCGGAATTTGATGGTAATATCATTGATAGTCAAGGTACGGCACAATTAATTTCAAACTTTCTTTGTTGATTTGTTTCCTCTAAAAGGACATTCCATAAATCAGTGAATGTTATTTTATTAGGAAATCTTACTCTTTGGGTCGGACTTTCTAATTCAACCACTCTGATGGAATTGAATTTTCTCTTGGCTTGTTAATATCACCAAATGTAAGACTGTTGACCCATGTATTTGTTCGGTGGTGCCTATAGACGAGTTTTCACTTTGACTGAAGATCAATTCATGGTAGCTTTCCTTTTGCTGTATGTCTGTAATCTTATCCCGTTGCATATGATGCCTTATTGGATATCCAATTATTCTGACTCTACCATAGTCAGTAATCGGTCAGCTAAAGGCAATTTAAGTATCATATGCATTTTTATAATAGAATAAGGTGATGAAGCGGTAGTTTGAGGTTTGCAAGCCTATGATTGGACTGTGGAATCATAAGAAGTTAGGGATGATTTATTTATCCCCCCCAGAAAAGTGCTAAGGACTGATTTGTATTAATTGTTGGTTGAAAAGATGCAGAAAACTTGGGGGACTTTCACTAGTAACCTAATATGACAGAACAAAAACTCATGATTTCTTGGTGCTACAAGTAATGCTCTACAAAGAGAAATGAAGATTGAGTAGGAATACTCATCTAAGTTAAAGCTTTATTAATCATTATGCACCAAATTAGCTAGAAAAGCTTCACGAGAAAAGTAAATAAATTCAGATTTACAAACTTTATTGAGTTCAAAGAATTCATCAAGTTTTTGTCACTTTTCTTATTTCCTATTTATACAAGGTTTTAATACGGGAAAATAGGGCAACTTCTATTGCTTGACTTCTGAGACCAGGAGTATTCTAAAACAAGATGCAAACACTTTTAAGTAACAAACTAAAAAATCATTAAGTGGAATAGGAAAAGATTTATTTACCAAATGCTAAGTTATCAAACAGAAGTCTCTGAGTAGCTGTTCCGGATACAAGTCTACAAATCAGAATTTGGTTGAAAGCCTGACCGAGAAAAATGTCTGGTTTCCACTTTCTTTCACTCGTCTTCTGTATCATTATAGTCCTGGAATGATGGACTTTTTGTATCTATGCGAAATTTGATGTCGAGTTTGACCCTGTAGCTTAATATTGTGCTCTCTAGCTCGTGCATTTAACATCGGATGAGGCAAGGGCTTGTGACAGTAGTTCTTGGGAAAATGATTCATTTGGGTCATCTTATTGGCATGCTTATTTTACAAACTTCAAATGTGGGTAACATTACTATTTGTTTAAACCGGATGAAATTGAATATGGTTAACGTGAAGCCAAAAATGGTGTCTTATGGATGGCTTGGTGAATCCACCACTGACAGCCTTAGCTGAAATTTTGTGAAAGGTAAATTGACGGAAGCATCCTATTTAGTGACTGAATAAGGTCTTGGATTTCTTACTTCTGCAGAAATCATGCGAGCATCAGCATTGTTGTCAAATCAGTTTGTAGATCAGGAAAGGATGGGACAAGAGAGTCCACATAGGTCGTTCAGTCAACAGATGAATGGAGGTCAGATAAATGTAGGGGCATGGAGTGCAATGCAAACTGAGGTATGATGTTTCTTTCTTCATGGAGATTAGCTTAGGTATGTATGGCTTTTATGGGTCATACTTCGGTATGCAATCATGTAATGACTATTGTTCTTAATGTGGTCATACACTTCCATACTGGTTCCCTTCAATTAAAGAGTGTGAGCAAGAGTTGTTAGTATAACATTGTTGATTTCAGTAATATGATTTTTCTTGATTCTCAAACTATGCGTTTTTATAGAACTTAACTAGTTAGTTGCTCTATTTTTAGCATACCTTTAATTTTAGAAATCAATTGGAAGTGAATTACTTATGTGTTTCCTTGGACACCAGACTACCAGAGGCTTATAGCACACCATTCAAGCATTGTAATTGATGTTATCTGAGCAGTTCTAATACTGAATGTGGTAATTCAAGCACTGTAAATGTAGTTCACTTTCTTAAGCTCAGGAAATACTGAGCTCAATTGGTAGTTTCAACATCTATTTAGCTTGAGCCTCAGGACACTATGCCTGTCCGCAAATTTTAGAAAGAAATGGCACGTGCAGTAGGTGGGATTCTTATGCATCATTATCAATAATAGTGCCTTTGTTGACGATGGTGTTGCCTACTCAGATGTTATTACGGACTGTTTGCTGTTCACAGAAAATGTAATCTATTAATTGTCTTGTCGTCCTTGCATGTGGATAACTTTCATGAAGATATAACCTCCATTTCTCTTCCCACTTGTTGCTTCCTTGTCAAGCAAAAAACAGAACCTAGTTAGCCATAATTAGAAGGGAAAAAAAGCACTTCTTCTCTGGTAGATATTGTAGGAGTTGTTAGTCCTAGTCCCCAGTATAGATACTGTAAGTAGCTGACACCTCTTTGCTTGTGTAATATAAATGTTAATTCTATTTTCATAACTTAAAGGAGTTTGAAAAACTGCTTGAGGACATTGTTGGAGGATTTACCACTTGATATTATTTACTTACTACAGGAAAATAGACTCCTCCAGAAAATGGCTCCATTTCAACCTTCCCCTCTGGATTGGCATGTTGTGCCAGGAACTGCAACCACTCCTGTTGTGAAGAAAGTCATAAGACTTGATGTTCCTGTAGAGAAGTTCCCAAATGTATGTGAAACCTTATTTGAGTGGTGTTTAATGTTGCTCATTGTCTTCCTAAATTTTGAAAGAGATCTTGACCAAGTTAAAATCATGCAGTTTAATTTTGTTGGTCGAATTCTGGGACCACGTGGGAATTCCCTAAAGAGGGTTGAAGCCATTACAGAATGTAGAGTCTACATCAGAGGACAAGGCTCAGTGAAGGACTCTATCAAGGTATTGGTCCCTCTTACTCTTCTTACTCAATAATTGTTAAAAGACCAAGCTTGAATAACTTAAGATTTACTATGCCTTGCTTCGTCAAGGCGTAATATGCATCTCTAAGAGAAGTCTCTCCCTCTCCCTCTCTCTCTCACACACTTCCTTTGTCTTTGTCAGAGTAGTTGTTGTAATGTCCAGAATCTTTTTGTTGTCTAAATTACAAGTAGTTTTAAATTGCTCATGGTGTATTTGTTTTTGTCTTTTGCAATTTTGCATTGTTCTCTTCCCCCTCGTATAGGAAGAGAAATTGAAAGATAAACCTGGGTACGAGCACCTCAAAGAGCCACTACATCTCCTGGTGGAGGCTGAATTTCCGGAAGACATCATTGATGCCCGTATCGATCATGCAGTTTCAATCCTAGAGAACCTATTAAAGCCTGTGGTATGAGTTAAAACGCTATACCTGCTGCCATTTGCCGTCATTTGCTTTCAACTTTTATCTAGCCCTGTTGACCTTTTTCTCCCTCACTTTGCCTGTATCAGGATGAATCTATGGATGTCTATAAGAAACAACAACTAAGGGAATTGGCCATGCTCAATGGTACATTAAGGGAAGAAAGCCCAAGCATGAGTCCTCGAATGAGCCCTAGCATGTCTCCATTTAGTAATACAGGAATGAAACGAGCAAAGACGGGAAGATGACACCTATTCTTGGTCAGGGGACCCCTAATTGCTGGAATGCTGATTGACTGTCTAGTGATAGACACAGAATATAGCTTATCCGCCTGACTAGTACGATTTCCGAGTCTGCTTCTGGTACAGAATGCAGGCATCCCGCAGGCAGCTTCTTTAGATAGCTCTAATATGGCTTTTATCTGTAACCATCTTTCCTAGAGGTTTTGACCTTTAGTCTTAATCTAGGTTTAGTGGTCAATGTGTTCAAGCAATTACAATAATTTCATTCTTATTGAATACTCACGATGTTTCATGTATTATTTTAATGCAGACCAACTGCTTTAACTTCTGAATAAATATATTGAGAACAGAAGCTTGATATATGATATGCTGAATATCTCACTTTAAGTTTGTACCAATGCTTCAGTTACTTGCTGTTAAACTGTAACTTCACGCTGAAGTTAGTTCTAACTTTAACCTGAAGCCTTTTGTTTGTCCACTACGTGAAAATATAGTAGACAGCCTAAGAACTTTGATGGATTATTTGGTCAATGGGGACTCCTTGTCCTTTCACCAGTCCTATTTGTTGTTCCTTTATAAAACAATAGAAATATTTCGATTGAGCTTTGGGTCAGTTCTTGCTGCTGACTCATTATCAGGAACTTAAAAGAAAAGGAAGGACGCACCATGTGAATAAAAGTCGGATATTCTCCCCTTGTTATCGCAAAATAAAAGAGTAAGGAAAAAAGAAAGGCACTGTAACACATCAAACAGCTTCCTTAATCTATAAGTTCACACTTTTTAGACAATTATCAAGTTTCGTCATTTTCATCTTTTTCTTTTGAGAATGATGAATTGTACCTTCTTGAACAAATACAGGTGGAAGATTTGGCAGAGACTGAGAGGCAATGAATTAGGGAAAGCAAAGGCTACTGATAAGTAGTTCATTAGTACAGTAGTTCATTAGTACAGTAAGCAGTGCCACCATTAAAAAAGGAGGGGAGATCCCAAAATAGATATGAAGAAAGTTCTGTCCAGAACCAAGGGATAGTTATGTTTCGGACCAAACATTTAGAAACTTCATGGATGTTTAATGCTTAACTAGTAGCATGTCACAGGGATGGACTTCTTATTAAGGGAAGAGATATCATCTTCCACTCACACACAAGAGAAGGCCGAACATTACATCGGAGGGTACAAAAGTAAATGTGTACACTTAGATACAGTTTAGCTCATTTGAGCTTTTGTGAAAAAATATACCTCATGTTTCAAAGCCATCTAACAAGCTGCAAATACCTACTACACCATTACAGAGTGAATATGTGAAGGATGAATTACATTGCTGAGTCGGAAGGGAGTCCTTTGGCAATATCTGTCATCCATCGATCTGTCTCCAAAAAAAGAATGCATGAAAATTTTGGTTCTGCTAATACTGATACATATTTCTACAACTGTGAAATAAAAATTCTCTTGATTATGCCAAGGTTCTGGAATCATCCAACCCATTGTGATCAATGAACCAACAATCTGAATTTAAGATATTACTTGCATCTGCACGCAGGGTAAATAGTAATTCAAAGCAAAAGTCAGATGCAATAAAGAATTAGACTAGTCAATTACATAGTTGACAGCATTGCATAATATTACAGTTTGAGCAGATACCGGATATAAAAATATAACATGTCGGCATTTAAAAAGGAAAAAAAAGACACTTCCTAATCAGCATGACCAGTTCATGCACCAAGCAGACTGACACTCCTCAAAAAAGCCTAAATAATAACAGGATAACATAACTGCCAAGGTATAAAAGATCAAAAGAAATTGTGTAGAATATAATATATCACGTGCATCCAACATTTTTTTGAATGACGGTGGTGTCCATGCCAGCTTGCGCACACCTCAACTATTCCATCAAGTACCTGTTACCTCCCACCAGCACAAGTACTGAGTAACTATGCCCACCAAGGCTTAGACAGATGGAGAGAAATCACTTTTTTTTTTACCTCCGCTTGAATTTGAACCTAAGACCTCATGGTCTTCTCCCACTTCATTGACCACTAGGCCACACCCTTGAGTGCCACATCCAACAATAGTCCTGGCCCTCCCGGGAAATCACCCATAGGTGTGAAGGTCAAATTAAAGAATTCTAAGGGTGTGTTTGGTATAACGGAAAATGTTTTCCAAGAAAATATTTTCCAAGAAAATATTTTCTTGGAAAACAAGTAGTATTCTTATTCATTTTCCGGTATTTGGTACGCAAATTAAGGAAAATAACTTCTCAAAAGTATTCATAAATAATTTAGATACAATAAACATGAAGCCATAAACTTTCGAACCAACAAACCTTCCGAACCCACAAATTTCATAAACTTCCGAACCGCTAAACTTTCGAAACCGCGAAATTTCGAACCTGTAAACTTTATAATTTCTAAACACGTAAATTTCCAAACACATAAACCTCCAAACTCATAACTTTGGAACTTGTAAAATTTCGAACCTGTAAACCGAAAGATGAAAAAACT